TAACACTTTGAAATGTTAATCAGAGAACACATTATACATATACATTATTAATACACATGCACTGAGGTTTTCAGAATTATTTGTGAACGTTTTAATGAAAAAAATAATGTTTTTATGCACAAAAAAAGCGATTGCGGCAAACCAGGAAGTGCTATTATCATGATTTGAACATTATAGGACACATCTGCAGAGGATCTGATTATGGATATAGGTTCAGAATATACATAAGTACCTCAGCGCGGATGTTCAGAATTCTTTGTTCAGTTTTTATGTTGTTCCAGAGCCTAATAGAGGCTTGATTCGGAGGCTCCGCGAAAACAAACAACTGCGCATGCGCGCAGCTGCGAGCATCAGCGCCAATGATTGACAGCCCTTGGCATGACTCGATTGGTTAACCTCGACGGCACCGTGGATTCTGAACTATAGCTAAGAGCAGGGAAGGCGGGAATTGCCCGTAATATTAGAATTAATAAAATTGCTTATTTTATATCAACATTTAAGGCCAGGAGGTCAATTTAGCACATTTCCTAAAATTTGTAATTAATTTAGAGTTACAGACTATCACTTTAACCCCCACAGACTCCCTCTGTGAGGACATTGCAGTCCACTTCACGGGGAAGATAAATACAATCAGATGTAGCATTTTATCCAACCGCACAACTGTTTTTAACACATCTGATTGTTTGTCTTCACCAGAGGAAACACTGGACAGTTTTGTCCTGGTTGATGCTGAGATGCTTGATAAAGTTTTCTCCTCAGTGAGGCCCACCACATGTCTTTTAGATCCGGTCCCCACCCCATTTTTTAAGTGATTTTATGAATCTTTTAGAGAGGAGCTTTTAAACCTGATGAACTGCTCTCTTCAGACTGGGGTCTTTCCTGCAGCCTTCAAAGCGGCTGTGGTGAGACCCCTTCTGAAGAAGAGCAATTTGGATTTTAATGATTTTAACAACTACAGACCAATATCCAACTTACCATTTTTAAGCAAAATTTTAGAAAAACTTGTTTTTACCCAGCTCAATGCCTTTTTAGATCACCAGAAAATGTTAGAGAAATTTCAATCAGGTTTTAGGGTGAACCACAGCACAGAGACTGCTCTTTTAAAGATTTTAAATGATTTTAGACTAGGTTATGATTCTAAAAAGGTGACTGTGTTGGTTCTACTGGATCTAAGCGCCGCTTTTGATACAGTAGACCACACCATTCTTTTATCCCGTCTGAAACACCTTGGCCTCTCTGGTGCTGTCCACAAATGGTTCACTTCTTATTTAACAGACAGATCCTTCATGGTAAGTTTGGATACCTGCTCCTCTCGGGTCCATAAAATCACATGTGGTGTGCCCCAGGGTTCCATTTTAGGTCCAGTCCTTTTTAACCTGTACATGCTCCCTCTGGGCGGTGTCATCAGGAGACATGGAATTAACTTCCACAGTTATGCAGATGATACACAGCTGTACATCTCCTGATGACACACAGCTGTACATCTCCTGATGATACACAGCTGTACATCTCCATGTCTCCTGATGACACCAGGCCAATGGATGCTCTTTTTAACTGCATTTTAGACCTGAAATCCAGGATGGCAGAAAACTTTCTCCAGCTTAACCAGGACAAAACTGAGGTTTTAGTCATCTGTCCTGAGGCCCAGAGAGAGAAACTTTTATCAAAATTACAATCACAATCTTTTAATCCATCATCACAAGTGAGAAACCTGGGCGTAATCTTTGACTCTGAGCTGACTTTTATTCCTCACATTAAGAATATCACAAAAATAGGTTTTTATCGTTTAACACTAGAAAACCCAACCGAAATTGCCCCCTGTTTTGAGAAGAAGGAGCTAACTTGCTAGGTTGGCTGCTAACATTTGCATGTATTGATTTGCAAATGTAGGTAATGACTTATAACAGCAGGGGTGGGCTTTGTTTATTCGTGCGGGGGAGGGAGAGCTGCAAGAGAGAGAGTACTACAGTAGTCTGTGAGACCACAGATACACATGTGGACAAAGCAGAAGAGATGCCATGGCAGTGCTGTGTACCCTGAGAATGCGCTGTATATATTTTGTAATCAGTTTTTCTCAGTGTCTTTGGTGCATTTTTCACATAATTCTTCACATTTTAACAACAGTTTGTGCATTTCTCAGAACAATAAGTGCAAACTGCAAAACCTCATGGATAACCTGCTAAAAAGTCACTTTCTCAAAATGAACTTAATTCCTCAAAAGAAAGTCTTCATGTCAATGAAACGGTCTGTGTCTCAAAAGAATAAGTCCTGACATCAGTGTTTATGAACAACAGTCAAATGATTTAGTCATGTTTTTATTGTGACTGTATTTAGTGATACATATGTATGTACTGTATGTTCACATATTTACTGCTTATTCTACAGCATTTTGCAACAAAAATAGTACACATACAGTATTTACGTAGAAAAACATACAAAAAATCATTACGGTAGAACCTCCACAACATTGAGTCGTGTGTGACATCATCGCGGCAGTTTCTCCTTTGAACATTTTACAAATGCTTTTGGACATGTATCAGTTACTTTCATACAGTTCTCTGCTGTTTTATAACATTAACATTTGCTTCAGTCCTGTCAATCAGAATGAAACATACTTATCACGACTGAATAGTTTCTGTAAAACCAGTAGTCCTCATTTCATCGCTTTGGTCATCACATACAAAACTGTTCAAAACCAAAATCTGTCAAACTAATTTCATACATTACTTTATCTTTTTATATCCAGAAAATCTTTCCTAATTTCGAATTTCAGCTTCACTCATGACGAGGTGTGTGTTTTATTGTTTACATTTGTCACAGTTCTACCATAATGATATTCTGTATGTTTGCTCTATGTATGTGACTGTATTTCTGTTGCACAATGCTGTAGAATTGCAAAGAGCATATGCAGTAAATATGTGAAAGACATACAGTACACAGACATACATCGAAACACATACATGCACAAACACACAAACACACACACACACACACACAGTAAATACATACATGCATAAACACACACACACAGTAAATACATACATGCACAAACACACACACACATACAGTACATACAGTATAAATGTTCTTTTACTCTCACTAAATACAGTTGTGTGTAACTTTACTGTAGTTTTCAGCTGTACAGTGCTCACCAAGATCTGATTTTTTGCTTTGAAAACACAGAGTAAAGTGTCACAATGAAAACGTGACAAAGTCATTTGACTGTGTTGTTCATACTCCATGTTGTTAAGACTTATTATTTTGAGACAGACAGTTTCCTTGACATGAAGACTTGCTTTTGAGGAATACACTTTTCATTTTGAGAAGGTGATGCACTTTTGCATGTTATCCCCAAGGTTTTGCAGTTTGTACTAATTGTTCTGATAAATGCACTAACTGGCGTGCAAATGTGAAGAATTATGTGATAAATGCACCAAAGACACTGAGAAAAACTGTAAGTAGCATATTTATTTTGTAAACAATGTAAATGTATACATTGAATGACGTTGCTCGTTTGTTTTCTTTCAATTCACTTTATTATTTTCATTATTATTTTTTAACTAAAGTCAGCATGACACTAGATTTAACTCATTTTAACTAATCAGATCCTCCCTCTCCCGAAGAAGACAAAGTAAAGTGGTTGAGCAACTTCAGCTCAGCCTGTGATAATGGCCTTATTTACATAACAAAGTTGGCCGTTCACAGGTGATTTAGTTTGTTAGCTAAAATCCTTGGAGTCATTTGGCACCGTGGTGGGCTTTTTAGGTAGAAGTGCCAAATGGCACCTCCATGGGTTTGCTAGTGTTAAAGAACATCGCCAGAGTCCGCCCCATTCTCTCTCGGGGCAACACGGAGACGCTGATGCTTTTATCACCAGTCGCATTGACTACTGTAATGCCCTGCTCTCTGATCTTCCCAAAAAGAATGTTGCAAGTCTTCAATTACTCCAAAACTCGGCCGCACATGTCCTGACTAAGACCAGGGGTCGGGACCACATTACACCGGTTTTAAAATCGCTGCATTGGCTCCCCGTGTGTTTCAGGATCGATTTTAAAGTTCTTTTAATGGTTTTACTTATTGTACTGTTATTGTATTGTTTTTAGTGTACCCACTGTTTCCTCTGGAGGAGCCCTCTGCACTGGGAGCAGTGGCCGGTGTGGCTGCGGGGTTTGGACTCTTGGACCTGGTGGGGGTCTGGGGCCTCGGTTTTGTGTCTCCTCTGGGTCCTGTGTCGTCCCCTGTGGCTACAGGCGGCTCTTCTCCTGGTGCAGACGGCTCTTTAGATGACCCTTTTTCAGCTGGTTGCATCTGAACCCTGCCAAGTCTGTTGTGTGGTCAGGGGAAGGGGTCATGGGCCGGAGGGATTGTTTTTAACCAAACTGTAAAGCACTTTGTGTTGCATCTTTTGTATGAAAAGCGCTTTATACATTTTTTTTTATTGATAACTGTTGGCCTGAGCGTGACAATCCTCTGCCTCCAGAAAGGTAACGTTTTAAATATTGATTATGGATCAGAGAAACCCAGACTGTAAAGTGTGTTTCTTTATTATGTTTTAGCAGCAGCCAAAGACCAAACGGTTGATACAGCAGAGGTAAGATTTTCTGTTTTGAAATCTAAAATACCATGTGTGAAAGTGAGGAGGAGGTGAATATGTTGTGTGTGTTGATCGGGGTTCTCTGGTGGCTGCTCGTGTGTTCATGGCCACGTCTCTGAGGAGCAGGCGTCCAAACACACCGGAGCACACACACGTCGTCTACACCGTCATCAAATAGAAGCACGTGTTTTCAACCATAAACACAAACATTTGAGTTTGAATTGTCTTACTAAAGTTTCACAAACAAGTAATAAACAACTGTTGCTTTGAGACGTTTCCAATGATGCTGAAGGTTCACCATTAAATATAACTCTGTGTATGAGACACCAGTGAGGTCAGAAAGGAGGTCCAAGGAGACACCAGAGAGGTCAGGAAGGAAGTCCAAGGTGACACCAGAGAGGTCAGGATGAAGGTCCAAGGAGACACCAGGGAAGTCAGAAAAGAGGTCCAAGGAGACACCAGAGAGGTCAGGAAGGAAGTCCAAGGAGACACCAGAGAGGTCAGGGGTCAGGAAGGAGGTCCAAGGAGACACCAGAGAGGTCAGGGGTCAGGATGGAGGTCCAAGGAGACACCAGAGAGGTCAGGGGTCAGGAAGGAGGTCCAAGGAGACACCAGAGAGGTCGGGAAGGAAGTCCAAGGAGACACCAGAGAGGTCAGGAAGGAGGTCCAAGGAGACACCAGGGAAGTCAGGAAGGAGGTCCAAGGAGACACCAGAGAGGTCAGGGGTCAGGATGGAGGTCCAAGGAGACACCAGAGAGGTCAGTGGTCAGGAAGGAGGTCCAAGGAGACACCAGAGAGGTCAGGGGTCAGGATGGAGGTCCAAGGAGACACCAGAGAGGCCAGGGGTCATGGAAGGAGGTCCAAGGAGACACCAGAAAGGTCGGGAATGTGGTGTCGTGAATAACTGAAGGCGTCTAGTCCTATGGTGTCGAATTAAGTCATTACCTTTACCATCCATTTTTTGTTTCCAGAAATTCCCATCTGTTGCACTTGTAGCTCCTAAGATTTCATGTGCAGACCACCTGCTGTGGTTACGTGACAAACTCAGTGTGGCGGCAGGGTGGATAGCCATTTCGCTTCTCTGCAAGAAGGTCTGGGCTTGAACTCTCACGTCGGAATACAGGTCCTTTCTGCGAGGGTTTGCCTGTTCTCCTCTCTTTGTCAGTTTATTTTTATTTGCCATTTGCCGTCCAATAATACATTGGATTACATCGTGATTCTGTTTTTTGGTTGGATAATCTACTTAAGAACCTGGACCTGCAATTAACGAACTAAATAATTGGACATCGATTGTATTTCTAATTCAGAAAAACTCATGCAAAATAGGGACCACCACCCCGGTCTGTCAGTTCCTGCTCCAGCTTCTGTTCAGAATAATACACTTCCTAAGACTGCCTATGTGATCCCTTCTGCCACCCCGATTGCCTTGCGATATTGCAGAGACGTGTCAGCCAAGACACTCCTACAACATCCAGAGACTTTAGATTGTCAGGACGGATCTCATCCACTCCCGGAGCCTTCAAATCAAATCAAATCAAATCAAATTTTATTTATGAAGCGCTTTTCATACAAAAGATGCAACACAAAGTGCTTTACAGTTTGGTTAAAAACAATCCCGCCGGCCCATGTCCCCTCCCCCCGACCACCCAACAGACCCATCCCAAACCACAGACAAACACACACACGCTCCCATGCACACTCTCTGACACACACACACACACACACACACACACACACACACGTAAAACAGTAAAACAATGATGAGAGACTTGGCAGGGTTCGGATGCAACCAGTTGAAAAAGCGTCATCCTAGGAGCCGTCTGCACCAGGAGCAGAGAGCCGCCTGTAGCCACAGGGGACGACACAGGATCTAGAGGAGACCCGAAACCGAGGCCCCAGGCCCCCACCAGGTCCAAGAGTCCGACCCCCACAGCCACACCGACCACTGCTCCCGGTGCAGAGGGCTCCTCCAGAGGAAACACTGGGTACACTAAAAACAATACAATAACAATACAATATGTAAAACACAAAAATGTGAAACTAAAATGAAACTAAAATGAACTAACACACAATACATGAATAAAAGCAATAGCAATACAATAAATAATAGAGGATAAATAGAATATATAAAATGAAATAGTAAAAACTAATCAAAAGCTAATCTAAAAAGGTGCGTCTTGAGCCTGCCTTTAAAAATATGAACGTTCTCTGCGGCCCTGAGCTCCTCCGGCAGACTGTTCCAGAGACGGGGGCCGTAGTGCTGGAAAGATGCCTCGCCGTGAGTGTGTGTCCTGACTTTGGGGATGGTTAGAAGTCTGCTGCCGGAGGAGCGCAGGGGCCGGGAAGGTTCATAGGATAAAAGCAAATCTGAAAGATAAGAAGGCCCAAGACCATTAAGACATTTAAAAACCATTAAAAGAACCTTAAAATCGATCCTGAAACACACGGGGAGCCAATGCAGCGATTTTAAAACCGGTGTAATGTGGTCCCGCCCCCTGGTCTTAGTCAGGACACGTGCGGCCGAGTTTTGGAGTAATTGTAAACCTGAAATGTTCTTTTTGGGAAGACCAGAGAGCAGGGCATTACAGTAGTCAATGCGACTGGTTATAAAAGCATGCATCAGCGTCTCCGTGTTGCCCCAAGAGAGAATGGGGCGGACTCTGGCGATGTTCTTTAGATGATAAAAACCTATTTTTGTGATGTTCTTGATGTGAGGAATAAAAGTCAGCTCAGAGTCAAAGATTACGCCCAGGTTTCTTACTTGTGATGATGGATTAAAAGAGTGTGATTGGAGTTTTGATAAAAGTTTCTCTCTCTGGGCCTCAGGACCGATGACTAAAACCTCGGTTTTGTCCTGGTTGAGCTGGAGAAAGTTTTCTGCCATCCAGGATTTCAGGTCTAAAATGCAGTTAAAAAGAGCATCCATTGGCCTGGTGTCATCAGGAGACATGGAGATGTACAGCTGAGTATCATCTGCATAACTGTGGAAGTTAATTCCATGTCTCCTGACGACACCGCCAAGAGGGAGCATGTACAGGTTAAAAAGGACTGGACCTAAAATGGAACCCTGGGGCACACCACATGTGATTTTATGGACCTGAGAGGAGCAGGTATCCAAACTTACCATGAAGGATCTGTCTGTTAAATAAGAAGTGAACCATTTGTGGACAGCACCAGAGAGGCCGAGGTGTTTCAGGCGGGATAAAAGAATGGTGTGGTCTACTGTATCAAAGGCAGCGCTTAGATCCAGTAGAACCAACACGGTCACCTTTTTAGAATCATAACTTAGTCTAAAATCATTTAAAATCTTTAAAAGAGCAGTCTCTGTGCTATGGTTCACCCTAAAACCTGATTGAAATTTCTCTAAAATTTGTTGCTGATCTAAGAAGGCATATGAGCTGGGTAAAAACAAGTTTTTCTAAAATTTTGCTTAAAAATGGCAGGTTGGATACCGGTCTGTAGTTGTTAAAATCATTAAAATCTAAATTGCTCTTCTTCAGAAGGGGTCTCACCACAGCCGCTTTGAAGGCTGCAGGAAAGACCGAGAAGTGAGGCTGGCACACACCCTGGGCGTTGAGGGGGTTACAGGACAGCTAACATAGGGTTTAAAAAGGGTCGGACGATCCTAGAACAGACGACCTCCGGGCCACTTGTAGTTTTGTGGTGATTACCTCCGCCCAGTAGTGGATTTATGATTTTAATTGAGCTATAGTACTGATAGTTGATTGCTTTTATTAGCTGTAGATGAAAGACATTAGCTCAATCCCCGCCATAGGTCTTCACTGCAGCTCGTAATCATTTTCTTCTTATAATCCAAGGGGGTACAGATATTTACTTCGATTTTTGTTTATAAGGAGCGCTAGCCTTCTTTTTTATCATCGAATGCTGTTGATGCGCGCGCCATCCCGTCGTCTAGACACCCACCTAGCCACCCCCGAATTGTACCCACCTGGAGAAGAGGAAGTCGGAATGACTCCGCGAGTGCAGGGTGGCCGAACGACGGTGGCGGACCGATCCAATAACAATCAACTTTACGAACTATATAAAAGCAATCAAAAAGCAAACAATAAACACAATTAGAAAACATAAGAACAGCATACGTGTTGCAAAGCTAATCACCCAAAATAAAAATAACCCACAAGAGTCCACTTTTCCCCCCACGACAGCCATTGTACCACCCGAGATTTTAGCATGTCTCTATTACCCCCCCAGACTCCCTCTGAGAGGAATATGGGCAGCCCCCATCAACATGACAGTAAAATTCACGGGGACAGATAAACACAATCAGAAGTAACAATTTATCCAACCGCACAACTGTAATTAACACATACTGATAGGTTGTCATACACCAGAGGACACACTGGACAGTTTTGTCTGGTTGCTGCAGAGATGCATGATAGAGTTTATCTCCTCCGTGAGGCCCACCACAAGTCCTTTATTAGGAACCAGATCCCCACTCCCATTTAAAAAAGTCAATTTTCTTGACTCCTTTTAGAGAAGGAGCTATTTAAACCTGATGAAATGCTCTCCTACAGACAGGGGGCTATCCTCGCAGCCTACAAACGCGGCTTGTGGAGCGGCCCCTTCTGAGCAGAGCTCCTTAAGATTTTAATGAATTTAACAACTACAGACCGGTATCCCCACCGTGCCAATTGGAAACGCAACCTTTACAGCAAAACTTGTTTTTACCCAGCTCAATGCCTTACTTAGATCAGCAACAAAGTAATTAGAGAAATTCATTCAATCAGGATTTAGGGTGAACCACAGCACAGAGGACTGCTCTTATAACCGAATTTCAATGACTTATAGACTAACGTTCTGCTGATACTAACAAAGGTGACCGTGATGGATCTACTGGATCTAAGCGCTGCCTTATTGAAAACATTCGAACCACACACATCTTTTTATCCGCCTGAAAACCACCCGGCCCTCCTCTGGTGCTGGACCACCAATGGTTCACATCTTCATTTACATCAGACAAGATCCTTCATGGGAAGTGTTAGGCATACCTGCTCCTCTCAGGTCCATAAAATCACATGTGGTGTGCCCGGGTTCCAGTATAGGACCAGGATCCTTATTTAAAAACTGTACATTAGCTCCCTCTTGCGCGGTCGTCAGGAGGAGACAAGGAATTGACTCCCACTGTTATGCAGATGATACCTTCAGCTGAACATCTCATTGTCTCCTGAAGACACCAGGGCCAATGGGAGGCACATTTTAACTGCATTTTAGACCTGAAATCCTGGATGGGCAGAAAACTTTCTCCAGCTCAACAACAGTGGGTACCAGGACAAAACTGAGGTTTGAGTCATCTGACATGAGCAGAGAGAGAAACTTATTTTCAAACTCAGATCACCACCTTTTAATCCATATCACAGTGAGAATCATGGGGCGTAATCTTTGTCTCTGAGCTGGACTTTTATCTAAATCACACTTTTCATGCAGTGTTTTGAAAGCAATGCATGCAAAGTAGGCTATACTAAATAAATTGTTACAATATGCTAACATATTATTTAAACCCGCAGGTATAATGGATCAACACTTCTACGCGGAAGAAATCATTAAAAAAGCTGCCGGTCCATACTTAAGGGAGCATTTCCGTATGTCTACACATAGATTCTTCCAAGGTAGGCTAACAATCTGTATTCCAAATCTTCAGCATGATTATGACAAAAGCAACCTCGTGATGATTAGGCTACTAATGTTTGTTTAATGATTAAGTTGTCCTCCTAATTTGTCCTGTTTGATTTTTTAAGACAACGATCCAAAACACACAGCAAAAAGTGTCAAAGCCTGCATTCAAAGTGAGGGGATCAACTGGGTACCGACACCGGCAGAGTGAGTTACCGTAGTTATTTTATATATATATATATATTCTGGATGAATACATGCTGTATCTCAGGGCCGCAGAGAACCTTCATATTTTTAAAAGCAGGCTCAAGACACACCTTTTTAGATTAGCTTTTGATTCGTTTTTACTATTTCATTTTATATATTCTATTTATCTTCTATTATTTATTATATTGCTATTGCTATTATTCATGTATTGTGTGTTCCTTTTAGTCTCACATTTTAGTGTTTTACTTATTGTATTGTTTTTAGTGTACCCAGTGTTTCCTCTGGAGGAGCCCTCTGCACTGGGAGCGGTGGTCGGTGTGGCTGCGGGGGTCGGACTCTTGGACCTGGTGGGGGCCTGGGGCCTCGGTTTCGGGTCTCCTCTAGATCCTGTGTCGTCCCCTGTGGCTACAGGCGGCTCTCTGCTCCTGGTGCAGATGGCTCCTAGGATGACGCTTTTTCAACTGGTTGCATCCGAACCCTGCCAAGTCTCTCATCATTGTTTTACTGTTTTACTTGTGTGTGTGTGTGTGTGTGTGTGTGTGTGTCAGAGAGTGTGCATGGGAGCGTGTGTGTGTTTGTCTGTGGTTTGGGATGGGTCTGTTGGGTGGTCGGGGGGAGGGGACATGGGCCGGCGGGATTGTTTTTAACCAAACTGTAAAGCACTTTGTGTTGCATCTTTTGTATGAAAAGCGCTTCATAAATAAAATTTGATTTGATTTGATTTGATTTGATTTTGATTTTGTATCGGAAAATAGGCTAACAGTGCTGACATGTCCATGTGTTTTTGTTTAAGGTCGCCGGATCTGAACCCCATTGAGTTAGTGTGGGCGTCCATGAAAAGATACATTCGCTGTGAGGCCAAACCGATGAGCAAGGACGCACTGATCTCCGCAATAGAGTTTTTTTGGCTAAACAAACTCACAACCCAGGTCTGCAATAAATATATAGACCACCTGGACAAAGTCATCGACCAGGTCATAGCGTTGAAGGGAGAGGCAACTGGCATGTGATATCCCCACGGGCCAAGGGATGTCCACGTTAGCCTATATTAGCCTACTATTGTTAGGATTTCTATATCCAGTGTTTTGTCAAGGTGCCAATTGCTAATTTAATAAATATTTCCTCCAATGATAAAACTGAATGGATCTTGTTTGATGAGTATTGTGATGTATTCCATTGATTGCACACCAGCGCACTGAGCCAAAATGCTCAGTGCGCATGAACTGCTTGTGTGCAATTACGTTACGTAATTGCACACAAGCAACCAAAAGAAGTGCAACCAAAATTGCCTCAGACAAGAATCGAACCTAGGTTCTCCAGGTCCCAGTCTTCAATGTTAACCATTCGGCCAACATAGCATCACTGGGCTAGACAGGTTTGCACGCAGTATCATACCTGAGCATCTAAGTCGCTGGCAGAGCTAAAGCGGACTTAACCTGCCACCTTGTGGCGATAAGATGTAATATTTTTCACGCAGCTGCGTGATTCCCGAAAAGCGTGAGTGAAGACGACAAAACGAAATGGGACCTACTGTATCTATTTGTGTGTGTGTATGTATGTGTGTGTGTATATGTATGTGTGTGTGTGTGTGTGCGTGTGTGTGTGTGTGTGTGTGTCTGTGTGTATGTATGTGTGTGTCATGTTTTCAACCATAAATATAAAGATTTGATTTTGAATTGTCTTACTAAAGTTTCACAAACAAGTAATAAACAACTGTTGCTTTGCGACGTTTCCAATGATGCTGAAGGTTCACCATTAAATATAACTCTGTGTGTGAGGCCCCAGTAAGGTCAGGAAGGAGGTCCAAGGAGACACCAGTGAGGTCAGAAAGGAGGTCCAAGGAGACACCAGAGAGGTCAGGGGTCAGGAAGGAGGTCCAGTGAGACACCAGAGAGGTCAGAGGTAAAGTAAAACAGGAAATGCAGTAATAACAAACACAAAGAGCCATTGGTCCAGAGGGAGCAGGATAAGCACAGTCCACAAATGTGAATAGATTGTGTCCACAGTTCTGCTCGAGGTTGTAGTAGACGATGGCTGCTTTTATGACACTGCTTCTGTTTGACTGAACATGAGGCTGAGTTAGAGCTGCACAAAGACCCCAGCGTTCACTCAGACAGATGGAGCCTCATGTGGTTTACTCGAGTACAAGATGAAGTCTCTGGACAGTCTCGTATTGAAGCCCTGATGCTGTGTGGACCAAAGCAGGACGATACTGATGCATGTAGCAACTGGACTCTTCTTTCTCTTCTGTTTTGTCTCTCACTCCTCACAGAGATGGGGGAAATGTTGCAGGAGACACATGTAAGACCTATTGTACATGACTTTAGTGGTCGAGAAAACCGTAGTACCCGGAGGTAACCTACGTAGACACGGGGGGAGAACCTGCAAACTCCAGACATAGTTCAGATTCTGGTCTCTCTCATGGACATTACATGGAACTATATCTCGATACACAACTGTTGTCAGGTCTGTGCCATGTTGCTGAGACCACATTGGACTTCCTGTTTAACCACATTTATCTGTCTCTGAGAGAATAGAAAGTAGACGCTGACAGAGTGGAACAAAGTAATAAAGTGATAAAGTAAAATGCCCATTTCAAACAATTTTGTGATTGGATTTTGTCCATGATATTAATATAAGTCATAAAAAATCATTAAACATAGATGTAAAAGACTAGACCAATCGTTACAAGGTTAAACAATGACACAGATGTTTTTTTGTTCATTTTGGCTTTAAACTTTCTTTGGTTTTTCATATTTCTGTGATAATAAATATAAGGATTTACTTGTAGAATGGAAGAGACATGATCAGAATGAGCAGAACACTCCCATCCAGTGGTAGAAGTGGGAAACTACATCTTGTTGGAATATTCTAATATCCAACCATCTTATTCAAAGCATTTAGTTCTAAACAAAATGATTTGACCGATTCCCAAAAGTAATTTTGAATCAATTTGTTTGTTTTGAAGGTGACGCCGACAACTTAAGGACCATAAAGGAGGTTGGAGGCATGATACAGACAATCCTCTTCATGTTGTTCTGTATCTTTGTAAAAACCTCATCATTCTTCTGTTGAACATGTTCCAGGTCATAGTCAAGAACTCGTCTTAGCGGGTTTGAAAGCAGAGCATTTGAACAGAAGGGGTGGGGGGACATGTTTGTGACAGATGTTTACATGGATAAAGCTTTAACTTTTTGGGTGAGGAAGCACAGTTCTGGATTATCTGTTGTTTAAAGGAAAGTCCTTCATGATTCAGGAGTTTCTCTAAAGAACAAAGTGAAAAACTAGTTTTCCTTGATGTGATATGTGTATATGAATATTTATCAAAATGAATTTTACCATTGTGGGATCAATAAAGTAAATATTCTTCTTCTTTTTCTTTAAATGTGAGGCCAGTAGCATTAGGGGATGACATGAAAGACAGACTGACGCTCCTCCCATTGTCTTAGAGATAAAAAGCCAAAGCAGAGTATTAGAGGCTCAGACCAGAGTCATCACTATGAAGACCTTCAGGCTCCTTCTGCTCTCTGTTCTCTGTGAGTAACATACACTTTAGCTTTTATCTCCAACTCTTCACAGCTTTTAGTGACGTCTTTGTCATTTACAGATGTCAGTGCTCGATCAAAAATATTGAAGGTTCATCAAGGCGAAACTGTCACTTTGTCATGTTCAAACGACCCTCAAGATGCATCTCAAATGGATTGGATTTATCTGGGGACTGGATATATATCTTGCAGCATTGCATCAGTTTTAGGATCCGACGGTGAACGTTCATTTTGTGATAGACTTAAAGACGGGAGATTTCACATCAGCTCCAATAAAACTGATGTGTTTCTGAGAATCCAAGAAGTAAAGCTCTCTGACTCCGGTTGGTACAGCTGTAGATTCTATAAGTCCAGGAGTCTAAACATAACCCATGAAGAGAAGATATGGCTAACTGTTATCAGTAAGTAACGCAATAATAAGAAACACATGGAGCCATTGGTCCTATGTGTTAAAAGTTGGATCGCAAATGTTTTAAATTTAAATAAATCAAAATACTAAAGTGTACTTGTCCTTCATCAACGAATGCAGATTCAACCAATGCAGATTCAACCAATGCAGATACAACCAATGTAGATTCAACCAACCAAAAAGGAGAGTGTCAAACTGGAGGTGAGGATTCTCATGGTCATGTTTTTTCCACCAACTCTATTTGGCACCACTCTACTTTACTCTACTTTACTCTACTCTACTCTACTCTACTTTACTCTACTTTACTCTACTTTACTCTACTTTACTCTACTTTACTCAGCTCTACTGTTGCCTGATTAAGAGAGCTTCCCCGGTTCTACTTTACTGGTACCAGGTAAATTTTCGGTACATGCTTGGCCCGGGTTTTATCCAGTCTGGACGGGTCCTGGCTCAAAAAGGTTCTTGAGTGCGTGCTCTGAAATGCCTGCAATATGACTCCGGGCCGGTGATGTTGTACCCGGAAAAGTAATTATCCAGTGCATTATTACGATCAATTGTTTCCTCTCGAAAACATCTTTAAGGGATGGTCCAAAGCTCGCTCTTGATCCAAAACTTGCTCTTGGTCCAAAACTTGCTCTTGGTCCAAAAGTGGCTCTTGATCCAAAAGTGGCTCTTGGTCCAAAAGTGGCTCTTGGTCCAAAAGTGGCTCTTGATCCAAAAGGGGCTCTTGATCCAAAACTCGCTCTTGGTTCCAGAAGCTGTCGGAGTTGAGGGATGTATATTTTTCCGACCAGTCAAGTTTAGCCGCTGTGGAATTTTAAATATCACTTATACACATTTTTACAGCATTTAAAAACGTATAGAATGTTTTTCCTCCTACAGAAACCACATTCAAACTAGAAATAAAATAGAGCCCTCACACTCCATTTTCAGACATGTTTGAAAAGGCTCCAGGAGCCTCTTCAGGAGCACTCAAGAGCCGCATGTGGCTCTGGAGCCGCGGGTTGCCGACCCCTGAACTAAACTAATCCTTATTTCCAGGCCCCTTCAGTGAAGTATGTCCAATGGCCGTCACGTTTGGGCTTCTGAGTGGAATTCTTTCTGTCGTTGTTGCTGTTCTTTCCCTGAAGAACAGAAGACTTCAGAAAGGTACATTGGTGATTGCTGATTGTGCAAGTTTTCTCACCCAAAGAAAATGAGGAGAGTCATGAATTGTTATCAGAGAAAACTTCAACTGTGAGTGAAATGTGGAAAAAAAGTAATGAAGTATACAGTTTATGCGTACAATTGTGCAGAAATGTATTATTTGGCAAATAACAAAAGTTAAACTGAATACTTGGTCAATGCCATCAAAGGTTACGTTACAGAGGTGAATCGCGGGACCCCTGTTATTTTGGCCCATTCTTCCACGCAGATCTTAGCTAGAGCTGTGATGTTTAAAGATTGACATTGAGAAACAAGCTTTCCACTGCGTTGCTTCACAGGTTAGTTAAGGTGTTATTGGGATGTAGCGCCCCCTGCTGAATCCAGATCATGTCCAGGCCGTCTGTAGTTTTCTTCTGACCATCTGGAAGATCCACAAGAGGCCTGGGAGAATATGACGTGGTCAGATGCGACAAGAATAAATGTCATTGGTAAAAACTCTAGAAGGAATACCGAGTTGCATCCCATACACCTTACCCAAAGTGAAGCATGGAGGTGGAAACATGAGGATTTGGGGCTGTTTTTTCCGCAAAGAAGACAGGAAAGACTGATCTGTATAAAGTGAAGGATGAATGGAGGTTTGTCTCGTGAGATTCTGGACAAAAACCTTCTTCTAACAGTGACAACATTGAAGATGAAAAGTGACTCAAACACATTGTCTGAACCAGTGGCTCCGTATAATGCATTTCGATTTTACTTCTTTGACTTATTTGCTGCAGTGTAGTCAGTCAGTATTTTAAAAATGTTGCTTCATGACCCACTAAAAATAATCCCAGGACGTACTTTTGGGTCTCATTCTAAAACTTCACTAAAATAACAAACGTGTCAATAAACTGGAGCCAGACTTGATATAAACGGGCGATAGCTTTGTCCTCTCGTTTCTACAGTACATGCTTTCTCCCTCACTTTAGGCTTTTGTAGTTGTAAATGTGCAACGTAAATAAATATACCATGATGACACTGCTAAGAGAACACTGTCCTCCTTGTTTCAGTCATTAAAGAGCTGCAGGAAAACTCCAACGAGGTGAGATTGTAAATATTTCGACTGATATCATTGTTTTAGCATATTTAATGTTTTCAAAACCGTTGGATTTCAGATTGAGTCCCAGGAGCTGAACTACGCAGAAGTCAATGTCAGAGCTGCACAAAGACCACAGCGTTCACTCAGACAGATGGAGCCTCATGTGGTTTACTCGAGTACAAGATGAAGTCTCTGGACAGTCTCGTATTGAAGCCCTGATGCTGTGTGGACCAAAGCAGGACGATATTGATGCCTGTAGCAACTGGACTCTTCTTTCTAGGGAAAACCGTAGCACCCGGAGATAACCTACGCAGACACAGGGGAGAACTTGCAAACTCCAGACATAGTACAGATTCTGGTCTCTCTCATGGACATTACATGGAACTATATCTCGATACACAACTGTTGTCAGGTCTGTGCCATGTTGCTGAGACTACATTGGACTTCCTGTTTAACCACATTTATCTGTCTCTGAGAGAATAGAAAGTAGACGCTGACAGAGTGGAACAAAGTAATAAAGTAATTTGCCCAATTCAAACTATTTTGTGATTGGATTTTGTCCATGGCATGGACGGGCGGACTGACCGGACGTGTGAGTTTAATACCGTCGGCCTATCGGGGATTTTCACTCGAATTCAAACGGTAAATTGTTTCGAGATCTTGACTTTCTGTGTTCAGTGGGCTGAATCCGTGGTGTCGGTGACTTGTAGGCGGCAGTGTGAATGCATGTGGGAGGGCAGGCTGTGACGGAGCTTGTTCATTCTAATCCAGGCTGTTGGAATAATAAGAATCCTAAGTTAGAGGTCTTAGGGGAAGTTCGTATCTTCAGTTGTGACAAAGGTTAGAGTCTGTCTCTAAAAAATCTAAGTTAAGTCTTAGTCGGGGGTTTCGAGTCCCTTGCTTCGTAGACGGTTTGAGTCCTTGTGTCTGGAAATCTAAGTTCAATCTTAGTCTGGGGGTTAGAGGTCCCTCGGTTGCTAGAACGGTCCAAAGTCCGTGTTTTGTGCAAATAGGTTCATGTGCGATATTTGCTGATAAACCTGGTTTGAGTTCTGGGCAGAGTTCGAGTCTCATGTTTGTATATCTGAGTTAGAGTCCTCAGTTTCCGACATGTGGCGTAGAAGGAAAAGACGACAGAGTCACCAGTCGGGACTCACCGATGTATGGTCTTTGATGAGATAGAAACATGGTGATGAATTTAGGACATGCGGGTGATAATGTGGTGTGGCTGAAAAAGGCTATTCCCAAAAGCTGAGGTCCTATCAGCCTAAACCTGTTAGAGCGCAAAATCAAATCACAATTGGACTGAAAGAGAGGCTCTATTGAGAGAAAGGGAAGACTGTGCGTGTGAAAGACTCTGAACTGTCTGGATGTGATCAAACGGTGGCTGATTGTGTGGTGGCAGAGGCAATGTTTTATCGGGACGGCCAGACAGAAAAAGTCTGACTCTATTAGTAAATTTAGAATATGCAAACTGATCATTCTCCAGCAGGTCTCGCCTTTTTTCGTTCGCGTAGCATTCCACCACTAACCTCCGGAGCCCCCTCCACGCTAGTATGGAGCCGGAGGGAACTCATCAGAGAAGCGATTGGGGCACGGCGGTACCCCCCCCTCTCCCCCCCCCTATGCACTCGATATCAACCAGAAGCAGCACCGGACTGCAGCCAGCCGCGCCGGGGGACCAGCTTACCCACCGCCAGCAGCAGCCCTCCCCTGCTGCCTCCTCCACCGCCAGAAGCCTCTGCCATCAGCCCCTCCCCTCCGGTCTGGAGCAGGACAGCGAGCGCATAGCTGATCCTTCTGCAAACAATCTTCAATACCCATCTGGGACGCATTTTGGTCCTGGGTCAAAACTTCAACTCTGAAGGACCCAATGGCCATGACGCCTGAGAGCTGGAAAGACTTTACAGCACCTATGATCGAATACCCCGGCCCCCAAGGAACCCCCCGTTCTGGTTCTGCGTCAAATGGACCAGGAGATGAAAGACTCTGTTAAAGACTGGCCTTCTCCACCACCGGGAGGTGATTCGATGGCAGACGCATTTCTGGCCTTTTGCAAAGCATGGCGTCTACGGGCCCGTGAAGTTAAAAAAGCTTTCCTCCTGTATTTTAAACACGGAGGGCTTCGCCAAGATAGAGCCGGAGGTCATCGACAGATTATGAGACTCTTAGGGCTCAGCAAGGCGGAGATGGGACCAGACGCGAATGCATGGGAGACGTATGAATTGCGCCTACATAGTGACCAGCTCTCAAGCGTGACGTTCCCTGTGAAGATCTGATATGGGAATAGATTTTAAAATAGCTGGCTTCTCAAAAAGACAAGTGAGTCTGTTGGGAATTTTATCTTCGTTTGAGGATGTTGCGTTACCCACTCTGGTAGTCAAAAGCCAGACAATTATCACTGCCGGCAGCTGAGAACCAGCATTCGTAGGTGATCTTATAGATGCGCGTTTCTGCGAGGGCCTCTCCCCAGCCGTATGAAAGCCGCACGGAAACAGGACTTTGGTTCTGGGGCTTGGCAGGACAATCGCAATCCTAGAAATCCTCAGAACGGCAAAGCATGCAGAAAAAAAAAAAAAAAAATATAAGAGAAAATATATTTTAAGAACTCTGAGGGTGAACGCTGTGAAAGTTGGGGTGGGCTCGAAGGAGAGAAGGCCCATAACATCTATAGACAATCTCACGTTGATCAAATGATCGGAGCAGCATATTTCGTCGTGGAGGTAGAGGACGGTGATGAGGTGGAAACGGACATTCGAGAACATTCGTGACCCGATCGACCAAGAAAACTGTGTTCAACTGTGGTGAAATTGGTCATTGGAATCGTGACTGTCACCAGCCACGCAGATGCACCCCCAGGGCACGTGGAGTGGAAGAGGACGGGGTGCGCGAGACATGGGGGTACAGCAAGAGAGTTTTCGTTCAAGATGACTTTTGATGGGGTCCCGAGACGCAACTGTACAGTTTGAGGTAATGCACTCACTCTTACACACAACACATAACTGCGAACAGGCATACGAATATGACGCGCTTGTTACTGATAGATTTATGCTTGGCTTATATTGTTAGGATCGAGATCGTAGGGAGTCTAGAGGACGGTGACAGGCCCAAAACAAGAGGACGATACTTAGCTTAGTGAAATGAAGCTTACAGTAAATGAAAACTATTGTTTGTGGATATTGAGGGTAAATCGATTCACTTTTTTAGGTCGAGCTTCTGGTGCAACCCACAGGTGATTCAGACAAAGGAGCTCTCAAATCATATATTTAATGTGGAGAGAGTGTTTTTTCGATCTAAATGCTACTTGGGCCATAACGAGCGTAGCCCCAGCCAACAGCAAAACAGTCATTTTTGATGTTGTACCGTTTGTCCTGTAAAATTGTTAGGCCGTCGGACGCTCATGATAAAATGGGAAAGTTGTTTTTTTCTGTTCATATCAGACTAGAGAAGGCCTTAATAATAGACAGTGGTGGGTGCTGCGATTATTTTGTGCGCAAAAGTTAACACCAACTGGTTGTGTCTGTATATTCTCAGTGGTGGGCTAACCCCGGCCTGCGCTCAGTCATTTGATGGAGGCTATATCTGCCATTTCTTAATCCCAAAATACTGTATATTGAAAGTGAGGAACCTGCATTGTGTGTGTCTTTTACACCATAGCCCTGATTTGTGACCTTTGAGAAACGTTTAAAATAGGCTTGATGATACCTTGACTTTTGATGACGGGTACTTTGTGATTTCAAGTGTGCTGTTTCTGTAGAGTACTTAGCAACCACGGGTGGTTTCCATTATGTTTTTTAATTGTTATTGCTGGAAATTTCAGATGTATCTTTGTAACAAACCCCCTAATAGCGTGTATATCATTTTAAAGCTTATTTGCTTTTCTACATTATATACATAGTGTTAAACTAACAATCTCACGATTTGCGTTCAAAAGTTATAACACATAATGTGGGCACAAAATACTATCAACTTCGGAAATGGTTCTTTACCTTTGAGCTTGTGCTGTACAAATAAAATCAGCTCTGCGTACCAGCTCTGCTATGGCTTATTCTCTTCTTAACTGTCACATGGAAAACGTGTAGAATCCACTTGGTGTTTTCCAAAGTATAATCCATTGTGCAGAAATCATGCCAAGAAAACTGAGCTTTTATTTTTAGCGAGAGAAAAAAGAATATTGAAACAGCGGAACGCTGTCTTGTCACTGTTTAGGAATTGCAGCTTTGCCTTTCCAACACGAAAGGAGGAGTCTTGCGTTGATGTTTCCTCACGTCTTGTTAGCAAACACAATGAGGACTCTCCCCGAATAGGAGATGGTGCTTGATTCGTTCGCTTCGTCTCTGTGAGTAAAACCAAAGCGACTGCCCTTTTACGCACGGCGCGCACGTTCTGTGTGTTGTAATGCTGGGCAGGGAGGGGCACGTGCTAGACCCGAATGAATGTCTCATGGCTTGTAAGCAATGAGGAAAGATTCTCGGATACTAGGGGTGGGCAAATGGTGTCCAGTCTTAGTTGTGCCATGTAGAAATGTGCGTTTTGGCAGCAGAGAAAGACGCGCTCGAACCTGCATAGAATTTTTACAACTACATAAAAATGTAGAATTTGCCAGATTAAAAAGAAAATCACAGTAGATTTAGTAACATATAATTACCAATTATAAAAAATATTGTTTTATGATGATTGATTGTAAGTAAAGATATTGGAACAAGATTGGCAACTATAAAACTTAGATAGTCTGAAAAGAATTTAGACAGTTGTGTCAACAACCACAATGAACAGAGGGTATGAATATTGTGATACTTACAATGAAGATATGCCTTTTTTTAGGGCCTTTAGAAATTGATTATGTTAGGCGAGCCTAAAAAAAATTTGTTTTTTTTTCACTAACTTCATTAAGGTTGCCAGAGGAATATAGAATGAGACAAACATTATTTAGTGTTTTTTTACATAATACTAGAAGGCTAGCTTATTTTTTTATGATGCATCACACAAGCATGTGAGCATGTAAGATGTGTTTTTATAAGCTAAAGACTTTGGGTATGCCTCAACCATTGTGCACGTCCCAAAATGAGCGCGGTTGTTAAGAGGTTAAGCCCAGTCCCAAAAACAATGCTTATCGTCTTGAAAATTCAAGTCCCTCATATTTCAATAGCAAACGCAAAACTGACGCATGGCTAAACCTTAAGGCCC